ATCACCACCAACCATGAAACGATTTTTTATTGCTCGCCATTCTTGATAGCAAAAGCGAGAGTTATGATATGTTGGTGATAGAAAAACGACGACTAATGACGCTCCTTCATAGATACGTCGCAAAACTTTTCCTCCATCAATAAGAGCCAAAGCAGCTTGAAAGTTAGGTGCATAGAATACTGGTTGAGGAGAGTCGGGAGTAGCAATTTGATTATGAACCAATTCACTGATTACTTTAACTCGATCATTTGTTTCTTGACGATAGGAGAAAGCGATTTTCATAGAATTTTGTAGAACAACGGAAGTTCGAGATGATGATGCTGCAGTGGTAGTAGTGGTTGGTGGAGAAACAGCCGGTCCTAAAATTTTATAGAGTTGTTGAGTATTCTGAAAATGACAAACTATTTAAGAGAAATAAATTACCACTTGTGGCAGAGAATTGTACTGATTCATTGCCAACGGTCAAAACTCCAACGATACCGTTATCTTAAAAAGAATATCGAGGATAATGTCAATTAAAAGGAACTAATATTGATGGTCTTACTTTCAAATTCAGCTACAGTGGTCGATTCCTGCAAAAGTAAAGCGTTGTCAAGTACTTCATTACTAGTGTCATTATTATCCTGCGAGTCCATTATGTCAATGATTTCTAAAAGCAAAAAAACAAACATCGAAGAATTCGAACGAATTCAAATAAAGCTTTAAAAAAAAGCACATCATTCGAACACGGTAGGAAAATTACAGGTGACATACGATTGTAATGTGATTTCGTCACTGTCTCGTCATTATTATTCATTCGATTACTTATAAATCAAAAGCAAATTTTAAAAAGATAAATATTACTACGAGGTTCTCATTCATATATTCATCTATTTAATGGCAAATTGCAAAAGTTTGAAAAACATTTTTATAATTAAACATGTGATTATTGTAGATAATAAAGAAAAAATGACGAAAGAACGATAAAAAAAAGAAGAATAATATACTACATAAATGCCGTAAAAGACACACTCGGAGAAGAATGCAAAAAAAAAATTTTGTTGTTAGGTGGGAGTGTTGTTGTCGTCACCAAAGCGTCAGAAAGAAAAAGAAAAAGAAAAACAGTCTTCTATAGACAGTGATGCAAACGACATTCTATGTTTCTCACTATTGCATAATACGTAATCAAATCGACACTGGATAAATGTTATCTTCAGAGAGCTCTTGAAAAGTTGCCAGTATTATCTAAGGATTACACCCATCAGTTTGAGATAGCTCCTGGAAAGCTACAGATAACTTTTTAAAGGCATGCCTCTCGTCCTTTTTCCAGATTTATCAAGAATGGCTAGACGAAAAGTTGTTCTCGGCTATAAATTCTCGGATGTTTCCTTCTATGAGATATAGGAGGCGCAAGAGCAAAATATAATCTGAAGTTTTTTCCTCTCCCTTCACAATTACTCCAAAATTCATCGATTTTTCCTGAGATTTTTTCTCGTGACAATTGGGATTGAATTGAGATGTAGTTATTTTTTTCTTTGAAAACTGAGCAACCTGAAAAGAAAAGCTTCAGCTTTGGATATTTTTCAATCGATGGAAGTTTGTTAAAATCTGCCAAAGTTCATTGATATAATATTTTTAAAAAAAGTTCTAAACCTTGATTTGATCGAAGTTGTCATAAAAAAGTTTCAGCTCAATCGATCGGAGTGTCAGAAAGAAAGCTTTGATTTTTCTCTCCAGAATTTTGTTTTGAGGAAAGTGCGAAAGAGTGCAAAACATCGCGTTTTTTTTTTCAATATTGTTTTTTATTTCACGCTTCATTATCAACTATTACACTTGCAAATTAGTTACACGAATACATCTTCGATCAAAACGTTAAAAATTTCTTAAACGATAATAATCTATCTTTTATTTTCTTCATTTCATTAAAGTTTATCCGAGAAAAGTCTTGATCATGATATAGAATAAATGAGATAATTGAATGATAACTACGATATTTTTCATAATGAAACTATTCAATATTGTAATGAAAGTCTATTGAATGATGAATCAACTTCCATGATATACAAGAAAAAAAGAAGGAAGAATACCTCTGCCTTTCAGCTACTTTGCTCTACAAAGTGTTGTCTAGCAGTAGATTCAATAGTCTGATATCTTCTCAACAACTATGACTAGCTATAGCTCTGAATAGAAAGCTGGTCTAATAAAGAGTTCTTGTGCTCAATGGCTTGCGCTCCCCATACGCACTAACTAATTACAAGAGTAGATGTATGTCACAACATAGTCAGCATTCTATCGAATGGGTAATTCGAGACAAATAGCTGCTAGTAATTTGTTCAAGGTCATTTCGTGGCTGGTGGTACTAAAGTTTCCACACAGTAGCCTGTAGATACGCATCGAACAACATAGCTACTCAGTCTTGAACGTTACCGTCTGAACGACTTATATTCATATGAAAAAATGAATTTAATTTGACCAAGTTTTGATTTGTTACTTTATCATCCGTTATGATTAGATCCATTGTGATAAAATGTTGATGACATTGTTTGAATACTTGCTTTTACGCTTACCCGATGGACCAAAAAATCAGTAAATATAACCGTAATTTTTAGTAATTGTATTGTCTATTTCTCACGACTTATCTTAGTTCGAGAGAAAAGCAATGAGCATAAAAGTCTGACTAAATGTGTCAGGAATGATTAGAAAGATTTTTCTATTTTTGATGCTAGTAGTGTAATCAACATAAATGATATCAAGAAAATTGAATAGACAAAACAATCGTGCGTCATTATACAAACCGCAACATACAATAGTGTTTTTCGAAATCAAGTATGTCTTGATATATTAAATGACATAGGCAATTTACATAATACGATATTTATCGATTTTAGTTAAAGACATCATTTGCAGATCTTTAAAAAATTTCATATTTATATTATATTTTTGTTTTTCTAGGTGAATGTTAATTTCATTTCCATGTTGTCACAAAAAAATCTTTTATCACATTTGTCATTGCTTCATTTTTTGTTTTCAATTTTAAATCAATCTCAATTTTTCGATATCTGAAAAAGCAGCAAATTTCATAATCATGATTGATATAAAAGCGTACGAAATATATGAAAAAATCAGTAATGGAAATAAAAACTGTAACTCTCTCATGAATATTATATTTTCGAAAGCGAATACTATTACATATGTCAAAGTATTTTGTTGGAAAAGTAGAAATATAAATAAATCTTATGCATCAAATAGCCGATATAACAAATAAAAATAGACAGACAACAAAAAAATATCCAACGATCAAAATAAAAAAAAAGTCCAAGTCATTGGTTCGCACACGCACGAATACGCTTACAGCAAGACTACTTTGAATGGATTAGTTAATTTAACAAACGAATGATAGTGAAGCAAAAAAATATATCAGCTAAGATTTTTATCTGAAGAGCATTGTTTTTTTTGAATTTTATTAAAATTTAAGTTAGATTTTCGCATAATTTGATATTATGTTTTATGTGAACATATAATTTATGATTGGTCAATCGAAATTGACAATGTGGCCCAATCATGATTATACATTCTAATGAAAATATTTGCCAATTATTTTTATTTAAAATGACTTGGACATCATTGCTAACTTGTTCATTTATTGTACTGCTATCAATAAAAAGTGTATTTAGTTATTATGTATTAATTGATGCTCATTCAGAAGAATGTTTTTTTGAAAAATTAACATCCGGAACGAAATTATTACTTACATATGAAGTAATCGAAGGTGGTTTTCTCGATATCGATGTTAAAGTAAAATTAAATTTCTTTATTATGAATTATTAAATTTATCTTCTTATCATTTAGATAACTGGTCCTGATCATAAAGAAATTTATCGTGGTGATCGTGAATCAAGTGGAAAAACAACATTTTCTGCTCATATGGATGGTACTTATACATTATGTTTTAGTAATAGAATGTCAACAATGACACCAAAAATGATTATGTTTGAAATTGATGCTGGAGATTCACCTAAACTTGATATGGCATCTGATAAAACAGCAGAAAATGTTACACGTAAATAAATAATTTTTTGTTTTTTTCTTATACTAACAAGAAAACTATTTAAAAGGATTTACGATTTGTTATCTCATATTTTTTTAATCATGTAGAAACGACTTCTAGCATCTTGAGATATTCAATATTCAGAAACGATCAGAATAATGAGATTTACTTATAGACAAAAAACAAAAAATTTCAGATACAAAAAGTCCTATTTATAAACATTAGAGTCCTATGGTATAATGTTGAATGTCCCGCAGAACTCTAATAAACATCCAACAAAACTATAGTAACTCTATAGAAAATATTGATAGATTTGAATTCCTTCGAAGTTATTCTAATTCGGAAATCCGCTTGATATAAACTGAAAAGTAGTAAATCACTTTGGATGATTTCTTCTTCGTAAGATAATTATTGATTTTATATATTTAGTTCATCATAATAAACTTGAAGAACTCGTTGCTGAATTATCTGCATCATTAAGTAATATTAAACATGAACAAGAATTTATGGAAGTAAGAGAACGTATTCATCGTTCTAGTAAGTCGTCCTTTTCTTTTTTGTTTAATTGATAAAATTATATATATATATTTTTTTTTTCTAGTTAATGAAAATACGAATTCACGTGTTGTTATGTGGTCATGTTTTGAAGCTTTTATTTTATTAGCTATGGCACTTGGTCAAGTATATTATTTGAAACGATTCTTTGAAGTTCGTAGAGTTGTATAAAAAAAAAAAAACAACAAACAAAAATTTTTTTTTCAATAAGAAATATCGGAGTGTACCTTTTTTTCTTTTCTTTTTTTTTTTGTTATTCATAAATAAAAAAAATATATTTCACTGCTTTATTCTAACTAATTTATATATCGAATTGAAGAATCTTATATTCATAAATGTGAGCATTGATTTATCAACAAATGAGTTGTTTTTTTCTTTTTAATTATGGAAGAAGAAAAAGTGAAATATAATAATCTGATTAATGTGGACGTTTTATTTTTAATATATGAGCAAGTTTATCAATGGCTTCTTGTGAACGATGTTTTATTTCCATACCACCCATTATTATTGGACTTAGTCTTGAATTAGTTGGACTTAATCTTGAATTCGTTGGACTTAATCTTGAATTCGTTGGACTTAATCTTGAATTAGTTGGACTTAATCTAGAATTAGTTGGACTTAGTCTTGAATTAGTTGGACTACTATGATTTCTACGACCAAAAATAGCACGTTCACAATGAGACGACAATAATTTTTTTCCACTTGTAATTATCATAATAAATGCATGTTTTATTCCTGGAATATCAATACAATCTTCTATTGTTTTATCAAGTGTTTCATCATAAATTTTTGAATATTCTAATTTAATTTCATCTAAATCTTTACTTTGATGACCAATAATAATTCTTATTAATGTTTTATAATCAATTGGAATTTCATCTAATGCTTGTCGAAGTATTTTAGAATAATAATTATTTGGTAATCGTATATATTCAACCATATCTTGAAAACATTTAATTTCAATTTCATTTTTAAATTGATGTTCTATTGCTTCTTGTATTGATTGTCCATATTTATCTTCATATATATCAAATATAGCTGCTAATTGTGAAAATGAATCACGTGTAAATAATTGTGTATATGTATCAGAATCAATATCAGATGTACCTTGACGAACTTCATATAATTGTCCAGCAATTGTTTTTGCAACTGATATTGAATGTGCATTTACTTCACAACGTTTTCCTTCAAGTAATTGAATAAGTAATTTTGACATAATACTTTTTTTATCATGAATAAGTTCAATATCATTTTCAAGAGAATTTTTAAATAAATTTTCATATATTTCTTTAAATTTTTGTATATCATAATTATTTAATGCTAATAAAATTTCTAATAATTTTCTTAATATATCACAATTATTTTCATCAGTTTGTTTTGATATAAGTAAATCATAAAAATCACGTACATATAATTCAATAGGATCAATTACCATAGCTAATGTACATAAACGTATAGAAGATTCAGGTTGTTCACATATCATTTTAATAATTTTATAATCATATTCATATTCAAGACCATGAACAAGTATCATACGTTTTTCATATTTATATGATGATAAAAAACGAAGAATAAAATCTAAATCTAATGTATGATTTATATTATAATTTTGTAATACTTTCGATAGACATTTTATATCACGTTTATAATCAAATTCAATTGAATGACCAAATAAAGGCTCACTAAATTTCTGCTAGAAAAAAATTAATCTTGAAAATATTAATTTAATTTAACGAAAAACAAAAATTTTCTTTAATTTCATCAAAGTCATTTTTAACAATACTTACTGGTAAATGTTGTTCTGATTTATTCCAATTACTATCAAATGTTTTCTTCATATTTTACCGTTGAAATGTATAATAGAAAAAAAATATGTAGATTTTTTTTTTGTCCAATTATTATATTATTTATACATATTTTGATCAAGGTCATTTAGAAGAAACGAAAGAGAAAGAAAGAGGAACAAAATAAGTTATGCTTGACCAATTTGTCTTTTGAGCCGAATACGATAAATGTACGCACACATATTATCATAATAATAAAATAAATATGCTTGTAGATTTATAGTA